ATTTTATAAACAAAGAGAAATGCGTGATCATCAAAGGAAGGTGCCAAAGTAAGTTCTTTAGAGTAAGCAAAGAAAATATTAAAACCCCCTTTAAAATATATTTTAAATTTTACTTTTGATGTTTTTCTCATATGCTTAATGAAATATTATAATATAGTATAAGCATTCATTTATGAATGGGACTGAGCTCAACCTTTTTTACTGACGGTGGTATATAATTTAAAAACTTTAGGGACCACAGTCCTAGGGTACTTGATTTTAATCTTTGTATAGTGGGTAGTAGTAGAGAATGGAATGAAAGTTAAGAATTATTTCCTAGAAGATGTATTTGTATGAACACACACATTAATTGTTAAATGTGATTTAAGGTTTTTTAAGATTTCAGGTTAAGAATTCCTGTTGCTGGACATACAGGCTACAACATGTGGTCTCTATTCATCAGGAGCAATAGAGGAAGAATTGTCAACAGGAGGAAATGGCATCATTGCTAATTACCCCCATGAACAGTTGTGCCATGAGACCAGGCAGAAGATCTGGATGGTACCTGGCATCATTACAGAACTTTTTTTCCCAGTAGTTTTACTGGCACATAATTCACATTATCATATAATTCAATAGCTCCCCAATTCTACCTTACAAATCCGGCTAGACCGGAGGATGTACACTGGTACAGATAGGAACAGGAAACACAGGGAATCCAGGGCGGATGAACCCCTCAGGACCAGTGGTGAGAGTGGCAATACCGGGAGGGTGGAGGCAATGTAGGGTAGAAATGGGGAACAGATTACAAGGATCTACATTTAACCTCCCCCCTGGGGGACGTACAGTGGAGAAGTGGGTGAAGGGAGATGTCGGACAGGGCAAGACATGACAAAATAATAATTTATAAATTATCAAGGGTTCATGGGGGAGGGAGGAGCAAGGAGGGATAGGGAAAAATGAGGAGCTGATACCAAGTAGAAAGCAAATGTTTTGAGAATGATGATGGCAACATATGTACAAATGTGCTTGACACAATGGATGGATGTATGGATTGTGATAAGAGTTGCCTGTGCCCCAATCATAAAAAAAAAAAATCATAACCACAATCAGTTTTAGAACATTTTCTTCTTTCTTGTATTCATTGTTATTAGCTCCCCATTTCCCCCCAACCTCCCCTTGCCATACCCGCAAGAAACCATGAATCTACTTACCATATATACTTGAGTATAAGCCGACCTGAATAAAAATGTGCTGAAAAACTCAGCTTACACACGAGTATATACAGTACTGTCGCTACACATTTATGCATCCTGAATTCCATATACAGAAAGACATAACTCCCAACATTTTTAGCTAACAAGAGTAACAAAGCAAAGCAGAGAAAAACCTCAATTGAAAGGTAGAAACTTTTTTTTTTAATCTAGAACAAATTCAAAACGGTCACAAGAGATTTTAAATGACAAGGTTTTAAATTTTAACCTGACTGCACATGTGATAATACAACCTTCCAATGCATTCCGCCTGACAGCAAGGCTACTAACATCTCTGGTCTATGGCTAAAGGAAATTCACTGGAGGCATAGTCCACATGCATATCTATTATTGAACATCTTGATCTAAGATTCAATAGCATAATCCTGATCAAAAATTGGGAACATATGAACCAGGAATTCAAATTCTTGTGAAAGCCATAGTTTCTGGACAAATCTCTGAAACTAAAGCCCTTTAACTCAAAAGAATCTATAAATCTTCTTTAAATAAAAAACAGAGTTTAATGAATACAAAATGTTTGCCTTGAACATTGTGCTCTTTTAAGATATATATGGGATTAATATAACAAAAGCAACTAGGAATCTTAAGGGGATAGTGAGTTAGTGTTAAGGAAGAATAATTCAGAAAAAGGGTGAGAATGTTACATATATTAAAGAATGCAATCAATGTCATTAATCGTACAATGTACTGAATTTAAAAATTGCTGAGTTGATGTATGTTACGCAGTATATATTTTCAATAACAAAAAGAAAATAATTTTGTTAAGTCCTGTCCTTGGACTTCCATTCCTAAAGTCATAGAGACAAGATAAAAATGCACTGCCATCAAGTCAATTCTGACAGGGCGGAGTACACCTGCCCCTTTGCATTTCCGAGGCTATAAATCTTTATGGGCGGTGGCACTAGGCTGAGGGAATACGGTTGTTGTCATCATTGATAATTTTATATGTTCCCATGAGCTATCAATAAAACTCTTGGTCCCTTGTGAAAAAAAAAAAATCTTTATGGGCACAGAGAGCCTCATCTTTCTCCCAGAGCGGCCAGTTGGCTGAAATGCTGACCTTTGGGTCAGCAAACTGCCTCAGCCCTGTGATCCCATTCCTTGCCTTCCTCCTCCTCTTCAATCCCTTTTCCTCCTTTCCATAGTTAAATCACCACCCCTCTCCCTAGGCAGTCTTAGAGTTTCCAATCCCCCTATAACTCCCATGGGATTAGGAATGTAGTTAGGGGTGGTTCCTTCTCACAAATTTAATACAAAACTTTAGTGATTCTCCTCCCACTGTCATGTCTGCCACTTCCTAAAGCACACAGTATTCTACTGAGTTTTAGAAACCAAGCTTTTATATTTAAATTTAGCAGTATCTTAGTAATGATCAGTAGTATTATCATCTGTAAGATCACAGTTTGATGCCCTGGTTATGTCTCTACTTCACATCAACATAAAAACAACCTTTATCAAAATATCCACTTTACACTCTTACCTACCACCAAGATTTAGAGCACTCAGAGCACAATCATAAGGTCTCTGCAGCTGCTGTGAGATCTCTGGCAAGTAAGTGACAATTTGGATATCAAGAGATTCCCATCCCGTCCCCTCCTCCGCCTAAAGCCAGAAAAGAAAAGCATTTGGTCCAATTCCATCATTTCCTAGATTTAAAATCTGAGACCCAGAGGTAAGTGATTTGCCCAAGGCCAAAGAGGGTGTTTAATGAAATGTCTGGGATTAGCATTCAGGTCTTCTGCCAGTCCAGCCTACTATGTCCCCTCAGATTAAACTAGAATGACAGCATCAAGAATCGGTCATCTCAGCTTGGCCCCATGGAACAGTGCATGAAAAGAGAGAGCTACAGGGCTGGCCTCACCCAGAGCCAAACTGACCTCCTCCCTGGAAATGGGTGTGGCAGAGAGCAGCGGCAGAGCCTACAGGTTGGGGAGGAGCCAGCATGCCACACCCACACGGCGGCAGGCCAAGAGGGAGGAAAAGAGAGAGCTGGACTGGACCCCAGGCTGGCACACCAGGCACAAAGGATGACGCCCTTGCGGGGGGCTAATGGAGCACAGAGGGGGGTGGGCAACTGACCACAGCATGTGTCATGCTGTTCCCTTACTGGAGCAGACTTCGACAGAGGCCATTTCTGCAGTCTGAACCCCCCAACGTGGAACAAACCAAGAAGGGAGCATACCAGATCAACAGCTGGAGCAGGGCAGAGCTAAGAAGCCCCTAAGGGAGCACTCCAGGTGGGGAGGGGCAGCTCCTGGACAGCCATGAAGGCCAGCGAACAGACCCAGGGTTTTTGTATATTTTGTTTCAATTTCTTCTCTTTTTAAAAAATTTGTATTTTTTCTTATTTACTATTATCATTTTTTTTAAATCAGTTTGGGCTATGTCATAGTCGGTGTTTCTACCTATATAGGACAGGCACGGGAGGCATGCCTAAGGAGAGAGCAGTGGGACCAATGGTCCCCAGGAGACCTGGGAGGTGAGGGCAGTGGGGGAGGGGAGCGGTGAGCAGGCTGCGTAACGGACAGGGGAACAACTGGGGTGTTGGAATCAATGATAAGGAGGAGATAGGGATCCAAGAGGGGGTGTCAGAGCAAAAGCAAACTATATGAGAGGCGGTACTAAGAGGTGGAAATAAGGGGAACGTGACAGTGGGGCAGGAGGAAGGCAAAGGAAACAGAGGAAGGACCTAGGAAGCAAAGCAGTGGATAGAGGTAGAAACACAGCAGTGTACATGTGTAAACACCTTGATCCACAAAAATAGAGGTCCTGGCCCATGTACATACAGTTATACGGCACTACACTAAGGTAGAGGATGGACTTCAGCCCTCTGCTCATACCCTCCCTCAATACAAGAACACTTGGTTCTAACCAATCGGCAGTCTGAGATGTTCACCCTCCCAACACAATCGCTGAATATAAAACGGGTACATAACCAAATGTGAAGACGACGACGGATGGTGCCCAGCTATTAAAAGATACAGCATCTGGAGTCTTAAAGGCTTGAAGTTACACAAGCCGCCATTCAGCAGTGAAGCAAGTCTACATGGAAGAAGCACACCACCGGTGTGACCATGAGGAGTCATAGGGACTGGGTAACAGGCATCAGCAGACACATAGCAAACAAAAACATATTGTTGAGAACGAGGGGGGCTGGAGCAGAGATCTAAAGCCCAGCTGAAGACAGTGGAACAATCTCCCCACAGAGAGGCCACAGGGAAGGGATGAATCACCAGGGCGCAGTAAAGCATCAGTGAAACACACTATATTCCTCTGGCTCCCCAGTGCCGCTTCTCAATTCAGACTAGACCAGAACATGTACACAGGTATAGATAAGAGATGGGAGCTCACGACACACAGAATCCAGCAACAGGAGTGGGAATAGTGATACCAGAAATGTAGGGGGAAGAGGGGGAAAGGAAGAGAGAAAAGGGGAACCAATCGCAATAATCGACACATAACCATACACCCTTCTACAGGGAGAAGAACAACAGAAAACATGGGGGAAGGGAGACAGTGTGAGAAATTAAAATAATAACAATGTACAATCTATGAGGAGGGGGGGAAGGTGGAGGGAAAGGAGCTGATACCAAGGGCTCAATATAAACTAAATGTCTAGAAAAGAATGAAGGCAACATAAATACAAACATGCCTGATTCAATGTATGAATTGTGGTAAGCGTTGTATAATAAATAATTGTAATAAATTGATTAAAAAAACAAAAAGAACTGGTGATCTGTAACCTACCTCACTCTTCCATTCAGGTTTATCTGGACATGCTGCTTAAAATCTGGGTATTTGGATGCCAGATAGGCGAAATCAGGAGGTTTGTCCTTGTATCTATTTCTTGCATGCATTGATTTACTCAGAGCCATCTTTGAAAAAAAAAGGAAAAAATAGCATATTTAGTCAAAAAACATTACTGGGGTAAAGTTGTGGATGTCAAGTCAACGAATCTTTGCAAATGAAGTAAGAAAGGAGAAATTAAATATATACAATATAAAATGAGTCATTATTTCTTAAACCAAGAGAAAACTCCTGTAAGAACATCAAAGTAACAGAATGAAGTATAATCAACAGCCAAGAATATTATAGGTTGAGGTCAGTTTTTACTGACCTCGCAAGAACTGAATATTTAATAGTATACCATAATCACTAAGGTTTGAAAAAAAGTATCTTCTATTCTAACTTACTTTATAATTTCAGTCTTATCATTCCTAGGTAGCTAAAATCAAATGAACATACAACTAGTTTTGCTCTCTCGCATCCTCACTTCTGAGATGACAAGGGAAAGGCATCACAACAGTCATGCCAAGAAAGCCCCGTGACCATGTACAGCCTGCTCACAGCACACACTGCGCCCACTATGTGCCCAAAGACAAGGTCATTAAGTGCTTAATAAGAAACACAGTGGAGGCCAAGGCCATCAGAGACATTTCTTTAGTGTCTTCCCAAGCTACCTGATTATGAGTTGTGCCATTCAGAACTAGGTGGTTAAGAACTGGTCACATGAAGCCCCGATTTAGACCTGCAGATGCTGCCCCACAACCTCCTCCAAATCCTATGTAAAAATTAGAAGCTGAAGAAAAACAAACCTTAAAGGAAATAAAATGGAAATTGTTCTTAAAAAAAGAAGGCTAATTTTTCTTTCTTCCACATTCCAAAAAGGAAAAACATTAACATAGTTATTGGGGGGGAAAAAACAAAAACTGCTAAACCAAACTCATTGTCATAGAAAAAAAAAACCAAAACGCTAAACCAAACCAAACCAGACCAAATCCACTGTCATCGAGTCAATTCTGGTTCACAGTCGTCACCTCATACTGGGTTTCCAAGACTGGCTATTGAAGGAGACAGCCTCATTTTCCTCCACACAGCAGCTGGTGAGTTTGAGCCACTGACCTTACAGTTAGCAGCCCAAAGCCTAAATCAAGAAGCAAGTCATTTTTAGAATATTGTAATATATATCTTTGGGTGGTAAATAATTTTTATTTATATCTTTATATATTTTCCAATTGTTTCATAATGCACATAGTATTACATAAACCAGAAACCTAGAAGACAGCCAAGAAATTGCCAGTTCTTTGGATTTTTTCTGTGAAATAACTTTCAAATCTATGTATGCCCATCTCTACCAATAGCATCTTAGTAAAAGCTTGAGGAATGTCGTGATGGCATAGAAGTTAAAGTGGTCAACTGCCAACCAAAAGGTCGGTGGTTCAAACCCACCAAAGATTCTAAGGGAGAAAGAGGGGTCAGTCTGCTTCCATAAAGATTTACAGCCTTGGAAAAACCCTATGGAGCAGTTCTAATCTGTTCCTATAGGATCATGATATCATTATCAAAACCTAGAAAACTACAGCAGTTTCTTAACGGTCTCCCTGCAGCCACTCGCTCTCTTCATTCCAATCAGAGTGATCCCTTCTAAACACAAACTTCACTATGTTCTCTTCCCACACCCACTGTCTCAAAACCTTATTCTTGGAATAAACACAGAAATCATGAATCCGGGTGCATACAAAACTCTGAATGGTCTGGTCTTGCCTTCAGTTTAAACCACGTGGTTCCTCCCACTTCCTTTTCGGGCCACATCTCTCCACTCTTGCTAGTCCTTCCTTCCTCCCTCTCGTCACCTGTTGAATTCCAGTCACAGACCCAGCATCTCTTCTTCGAGAAGGCACTTCTTCCCTAGAACGTCCGAGCCCTGTATTACAAATGTCTCGCACCAACAAGACCCTTTTCCTTTTGCAGTCTCCGTTAGAGACATAATTTTACATAGTCAAAAATCTGCCAATTTTTTTTTACTTTTTTGGATAGCTTCCTATACTCTAAATATAACTGATTACATAAAATAAAAAACCTTCACCCTAGCCCTTTCCTGAGATCCAGATCCACCTACCAGAATTCTCTACTTAATGACTCAACAGTAGTTGAAGCCTAACATGTCTAAAACAAAAATAATTCCACCCACCCCATCTTCTAATCACCCCCATCTAACTGAATGGTACTGCCGTCTTTCTAAGCACACAAACCAGAAATCTTTAGCACCATCTTCCCTCTACCGCACTCCCATTCCAAACATACTACCATGTCCAGGACATTCTATACCTAATTTTTTCTTGACCCTGTCTACTTTTTACCATTCACAATTCACCTCTTTAATCAATATCACTATCATCTTTCTTAAATTACTGTAATAGCAACCTAAGATTCTGAACATACATGAAATTAAATTACAAGACTGAAAATTACAAGGAACTTTTTGTCCCAGGATCGTGTCCATATAAAACTCTACAAGCAACTCATCACTTTGCATAGTCCTTCTGAGATCCTTAAGCAGATCGCTTTGAGCAGTACTGAGCCTGGAAAAGAATAAATTAATAAGCCCTTGGTTATGTATTGATTTATTTTTCCCCAGAGCCCTGTAGGTATCTTAATCAGTCCCTTCAGTTTCAAGTTCTTCTTCTTTGAAGCTCTAACCAAGTTAGCACACCCCTCCTCCTGGGACTTTACGCTACAGCTGGTTAGAGTAATTCTAATCCGGCTCTCTGGTTCCATGGATGTCTTACCAGTATCTTTAAAAGCCATGGCAGTGACAAGGCTTCCTGACCAACTTGTCTCTCAGCAAGAAAGAACGGCAGTGAGCCAGGAGCAGGAGCAAGCAAACACCTGCAATGACAACATCTTTCTCAAAGAACTCATCTAATGTCTTTTCCATTCTCTAGAATACTCCTTAAAAGCAAGAATGATGAGACTTAGCCTCACATACTTTGAACATGTTATCAGGCGAAACCAGTTCTTGGAGAAGGACATCATGTCATGCATGGTCAAGCTGCGGGTCATCCAAGATCCACAACAAGACAGATCAACACAATCATCCAATGACCAATGTGAAGCAGTATTTCATTCTGTTGTACTCAATGACCACTACCTAACAACACAATTTATTTAGTAGCCGAGCTCCTGGTACAATTCTGGTTCTGGACGTTTGCACTTGCTGGTCTCTATGCACAGATGCTAGTGCCTGAAAAATACACACAAGAAAGGCTACCTGCCTTCTTCGAGTCTTCTGGTCAATCAATAATCACTTTCTCTGTGAGGCCTTGGGAGAGACCCTCATCTCCCTTCCCAGCTTTAGTTTTCTACCTATGACTTAACCCATCTGACATTCTACATATCTTACTTTTTTTAACTGTCCATCTCTGTAAGTTTAATCACGGAAAAGGTTCCAGCCTGTCCTGTCTTGTTCCTGGGGTCTGCCAAAGTAGGTACTCTTGGACACTGGCTTAATGTCACTGTTCAGGCCACTGAAACACATCTTACTCGGGGCTCAAAACCGCTCAGCTTTGGGCTGCAGTCTTTTATTCCAGGTTATGCGAGTCCAGAAAGCCCAAGTACTGGACCCTTGGCGCTGATACTTCCAGTTTCTCTGATCTTTCTCGTATCCATGCTTCGGTCCCCCTGGTTCTTTCAGACCCCTTGACCCTCTGCATCTACCATATTCCTTAGCACATACACCTTCTGCACATATCGTTCGCCCATCCGTTTCCATTCAGCGCCTTCCCTCGTAAATACTACCCTTTCCTCCCCCGGGCTCGCCCTTGCATTCACTCCTTAGTTTGTCTTCCCGCCTCCTTTTCCGATCTCCCAAAACCTCGTCAACCTGGGTTGGTTTTCCCATTTCAATCCTAGTCCCTCTTCCAGGCGCCAACTCCTCCCACTCACCCACACCCACAGCTCCGCTTCGCGCACACACCTCCCCCGCCCCGCCATACGGTTCCCCATCTGCAGACACCCCCACCACCCCCGGCCCGCGCCCCAAGTCCGCCCCTCCCGGACGAGGAGGGACGCGGGGGATCCACACGTTACGCACACTCGTGACCCGCGTGACCGGGAGATGTGCAGTGACCCACCTCGGAGGCCGACGTTCTGGCCAGACCCACTCCGGCATGGGCCTCGGCAACTCCGCAGCCTTAAGCCACGCGCCACGCGCAGCTCCCAGAAACGCGGACGCGACGCTCCCAGCGCGCCGCCATCTTGCCCCGCCCTCCAGCCTCGTGATTGGACGAGCTGCTATCGCGCTACCTGTAGGTCGAGCCGGAAGCGAGGAGACACTGTCGCGAGACTTGGGGTGTGCGGTTCCCTCTGACCGCTGGAAGGGGCGCGGTGGCAAGCCTTGTCTTCGTTGTCTCGCCGAGGATGGGTGGGGCCATAGGCCTGAGAGTCATCTGGGGAACTCAGGGAAGGACTGAAGAGCAGAAATATTGAGTCAGTTGTTCCATTACAGCCGGGTGACATCGAGTCTACGTTCTTTCTGTGTCATCACTTGCTTCTTGAGCTGGAAGATCTGTGAATGCATGTCATTTCTCTTTTCAACTTGGCTGGACTCATTTGTACCTTCTGTTAAGTATCGCGAGCATTCGTCTCTCTGTCTTACAGTTTAAGAGAGAAAGATTAATGGCTTTCATGGGCATAGCCCTAATAACAGAGCTGAGCACAATCTGCGCTCTGGACCTCCACCCAGTGTCTCTTTTCATTATAAAGCTTGCCTCCTGGCAATTAAGGTGAACGCTTCTGGCAAACTATTGCCATAAAATGGAAAGACAGCAGGGAGTAGGGGATGGAAACCTTCAGCCTTATGCAGGATGAGTGTACCAGTAGTCTCCCACGGACAGCTGAGAGTGTTTTCAAGGTTGTGTAACAAACCGGCCCAAAATGGGTAGCTTAAAGCAACCAGTTCATTTGCTCACAGTTCTGCTATCTGGGCTGAGTGTTGCCTGGCTATTCTTCTGCTGGTCTTTCTGATGGTCATTTGTGTGCTTGTTTTGAGTTGATGGATCTGTGGTAACTGGGTTCAGTTGGTTCTCAGGTCCTCTCCCTCTCCAAATGGTCTCTACAAGTCGTCAGACTTCTCCGTTCTTTTTTTTTTTAAGTCAGACTTCTTACGTATGTGCTTGTGGGTCCCCAAAAGGATGAAAATGGAAGCTTCCGGGCTTTCTTAAGGTTTAGGCACAACCCTGGCATAGCGTCACTTCCACTGATATTCTATCAGTCACAGGACTAGCTTTGTGTTTGTATTTGCTGCATATGTATTGATATTCTAATAAAACACATAAGAGGTAGTTTCAGAGACATCTTGGGCATACCCATGTACCTTGTTTCGGAATTGGTTGACTGGGTTAAAAGATGTAAGACTAACACAATTGGCATAACATAGTTCATAAAGATAATATTGTACCTTCTAGTGCGGTGGGTAACATCTGAGGTCTTAAAAGCTGTGAGCAGTCATCTAAGATACAACTAAGTATTGGTCTCTACTGGTATACAGTAAAAGAGAATGAAGGAAACCAAAGATTAAAAAATAAACTAGTCTACAGCGCTAACAGTCCACATGAGCCACAGCCTCTTATAACTTGAAACCAGAAAACCTAGATGGTATCCTGATATTAATACTGACCATTCCCATCAAGGACACAATAGAAGGCCCCAAATAGATTGGGAAGAAAGTGTAGAATAATTCTCAAATTCCTTTATAAGGCCAGGCTTACTTGACCAGTAGAAATGAAGGAACCTCTGAGACTGTCATCCTACATGTCCCTTGAACTCAGAAGTCTGAGTGTCTAGAAGACAGATATGGGAAGGAAGAGGAAATAGGCGATTGTACTACTTTTCAGGATGCTTGATTTTGTACCAAGGGTATGCAAGTTGAAAAATTAGTCAATAAAAGTAAGTAAGTATGATGGTGCCCGGCTATCAAAAAGTATAGCGTCTGGGGTCTTAAAGGCTTGAAGGTAATCAAGCGGCCATCAAGCTCAGAAGCAACAAAGCCC